CCCCCCACCCCCCCCCCTCCCCCCCAAAAAAAAATTTAAAATAAATTTAAACATGTCCGTAACCATTGATTATCTAGTTGGTAATTGTGATTCATTGAAAACGTAATAATTACCATACTGTCATAAATTATACTCATGCCTAATTTGCCCCCAAAAAATCGTAGTTATCCATGAGATAATTCATGACTGTTCGATAAGGGCACACTCTGACTTTCTTTTAATGGTGAAGAAGATTATTGGAATCCATGCCTACCACACCAAAAGGATTATTTTACAACAATGGTAGAGGGAAATAGAAAAATAAATCCAAGAGGGCCCTCTATAACTATTGCGAAGAGCGAGAAGTCCATGCACTTTCCAATTCAAACTATAGAGCCGATAATTGTAATTATCTATCAGTTTGATTGCACTTAAATTTTAGTTGTCTCCACTTATATGATATATTGTTTGTACTAACACGTACACATCATTCATATTTTTAGTTCATATATATTTTCGTTCCTTAAGATTATATATAATGCTCACGCGTAAGCATACCAAAAGAACATATAATCTGATCATGTAGACATTCATGACAAGCAAATAGTCAAGCACCAAGAATCCAAAGGATCAACTGCTTGCACACATTTTGAACGGGACCAAGAAATAAAAGGAACAGATAAAAGGAAAACCCAGCATTGAGAGAGTACTGGAACAAGCGTTTATTTTTTTAAATATCTTATTAAACCCATGTCAACGACCATAGTTGACCTGCGTGATGCCTCCACCCTTTTTCCAGTCCCATAATCCATCAGCCTTTACATGAACAAATAGTCTGCGTCAACGAGGATAATTGACCTGTGCGATGCCACATCATTAGTATGACAAAAAAAATTTTAAAAAAAAGTCTTAACTAATTGGTTTTGAAATACATATGATACCTAGTCGCTTAAAGAAACATAGCAAGTTATCCTTAAAAATATCAACATACATGGTAATACTAAACTGCTGAAATGCAAAGCTGGGTTAAAATTAATTTGACGAAATATTTTGTCGTAAGAATTATTTTGGAAGTCGGTGGTGTTTTATTGTGGAAGAAGCTAATGAATTTGTCATTTGTATTACTCCTCATAATAACAACAAAAATTACAAATATTTTGACTTTTGGATAGCTGTGATGGTAGAGACTGCACTTTTGCTCCATTAACCATGCGAATATCATTGCTAAGTTGTGATGATCTTCTTTGTGGTTATCAGGTTTGGTATAAGGAGAGCTATTTTCTACAAAGAACTAAAATTTATCTCCTACCTATAAATATAATGATAAACAAAACCCATGAAAGGGTAGAAAACTCACGAAGAGTAATAATTTGTTAAGAAACCAAGCTTAGGGAACCAAGAGAGATTTGGAAAAACCAACAAAGACCAATTGCGTGTCAAAGAGAACTCTCAAGGCTTGTTTGGTACATGGGTAGAGGGAGGTAAAAAGTTTGTCCTATTAAACATTATCTCATCTTTACCCATATTTCTTATCCTTCTAAAACTTCACTCAGGATAAAGTTAACCTCATATAAGAGTAAACTCCTAATTCAATTGTAGGAGAAAAAGGAGCGAACAGTTCTCAAACATACAACAAGCCTCCTGAAACTTGAAAATTAACTAGATCACTTGTAAAGTAAAAACTAATAACCAACCCCTTGAATAGTTATAAAATTACAAAAACAACCTTAATAATGTAAAACTCGGTAAAAATCACAAAAAAATGAAAAATTCCAAATATAGAATAACACTAAAAAATTAAAACATAAAAGTAGGTCAACTTTAAAATTTAAAGAAAACACCCTAAATGTTTTGAAAATCATAGAAAACATCTTAAAATTTTGAATTTTACAAAAAACCCTAGAAATATCAAAACTTACAAAAAAGTATATTTAAATTCTAGAAACTCCAAACAGCCTCGTAAAAATTAAAATTTGTAGGAAAGACCTTGAAAGCTTTGTAAATTGCAAAAAACAACCTCAAATTTAAAATTTTACAAAAAAATTTTCCTAAGAATTTCAATCCTACAAACAAACAGTACACTAAAAATATAGCAATTACAAAGACCCTAAAAATTTTGGAACTTGTAGAAAACAACTTGGAAGTTTTGGAAAATACAAAAAAAAAATCCTTCAAACTTCAAAATTTTAAAAAAAAAAAGCACCTTGAAAAATTCAAACAACAAACTGACAATATAGGACTACAAACCTCTTTAAAATTTAAAGTTTGTAGAAAACAACCTAGAAGTAAAAACAGTACAATAAATATTGTCAAAACTTAGAATTTTACAGAAAACAGACCTAAATTTTTTAAAAATACAAACAGTAAACTGAAAATTTTATAAATTTGAAATTTGTAAAAAAAAACACACTGAATGGTTAGAACATTGCAAAAAAAAAGCTAAAAGTTCAAAAAATTGCAAAAAAAAAACCTCAAATTTTGAAATTTACAAAAGATTATTGTTTGTAAGTTTTGATCTTTTAGAGTGTTTCTATAAATTTTGAATTTTAAGGGTGTTTTCTTCAAATTCCAAAACTTTGAGAGGTATGCTTGTTATCTTATGTTGTCATTGTACTTTTTTAGGATTTTTTGTAAATTTTGGATTATTAGGGTTTTTTTGTAATTTTTAAAACCTCTAGGGTTCTTTTTGCAAATATTGAATTGTGTAGGAGGTTTTTTATAATTGTCAGATTTTTTTTAGGAGGTTGTTTATAAGTTTAATATTTTGAGGGGGCTGCTTGTAATTTATGCATTCCATGTTGAGAGTAGTAGAGATCCTTTTGTGTTAAATTTTAACCCTAATGAGATGTTATACTAAACACAAGAATGTTTCCCTCACTAATTGTTCTAGGATAATAATTATCATGTTAAAGTTTAACCAGGATTGCTTTAACCTACCAAATAAGCCCTTTGTGGAAAGAGCTTGTTGAAGGCGTCGCAGAGCTAAGGCAGACCAGTACAACTAGGGCAACAGTGAAGAGAATGAAAACTGGCGCCCTTGGAGTGGTGCTAAGGGGTTGTATTTAGAGACCAAAACCTACTAGCATCGCAGAGCTATCAAGTCGTGGAGCTATCGACGCTGTATTAGTAAAATAATACTATTCTTTGGTAAAATAATACTATTCATTATAGCTAACTACCGTTCATTTACATTAACTTTAGTATACAATAAGCACTTGTTACAGTGGCAATGGAAAATATAATGGAATGCCCAATATCCAAATCTTGAATGCAACATTAACGGCTAAAATATGCTTAAAAAGGTGATATGTGTAAGCCAAAGGCAGAAGCATTACACACCCCTGGATTGGTGTTTGGATCTATTGCTAACTTAGATCCTACAGGTAGAGAGAGCTACTGTGCACGAGACTCTTTCTCGCTATCCACAACACGCCCGTCCTTGAATGATCTCCTAAGCACGTTGCAAAAAGACCAATTTGTTGTGAGTGATCGTGGGGACGTGGGGGCCACGAACGGCCACACCCACGTGAGCACATCCACGAACGCGGAGAAGAGCTGGAGGCAAAGCGCGTGGGGCCACGAGCGGGAGCAAAGAGCGGAACAACCCAAGGCCCACCCGACTTTGTGAGTTATAAATACCTAGTTCTTCCTAGGGTTTCGTGAGCAGGTAAGGGGAGAACGTGGGCGTTCAGGTGCGAGCAGGGGCGAAAAAGCGGCTACAGTGGCGTGAAAAGAAAAGTGCAGAGAAAAAAAATACAGAGGCTTTTCGGCTGTAGCAAGGGTTTGTGCATCCCTTTGGAAGAGATATTTGTGTGAGATTTGAAAGCTTGTTTGAGTGTTTAATTTGTGTGATTGTAAACCCTATTTGTATCCTCTCTCTCTCTCTCTCTCTCTCTCTCTCTCTCTCTCTCTAATAATAGATCCCCCCTCCTCCTTGCCCCGTGGACGTAGCCAACTTGCCGAACCACGTAAAATTCGTTGTCTTGCTGTGATTTGTAATAGCTTGTTTAGGTTCTCTCGACAAGTCAGTTCTAGAACTGATGAGAGGAAGAGTGTATATCCCACTTTGTTGAGATATATCACTTTCGGTTCTTGTTTCCTTTGTGAATCAGGGATTTAGTTGTGATTTACTCTCTTGTTGTGCATCAAAGGTGCTGCCGAAATTTCCGATGCGCACAACATTTGTATGTGTTTTTATGTGTGCTTGAAAAATGAATCCTCAGTCGCTAAGGGAGAGTTTCACTCAAGAATAAGATCAATTAGTTAACAATCAAATCTTCTTAAATAAGAATAAAGAATTATGGGAGATCGAATCATATCCATGTTAACCACCAAATGGTAATCCCTGTTTGGATGATATACATTTCAATAACAACTTACCTTTATCCTCAAGATGTTGTATCTTGGTTGGAGGCAGCCATTAAGTGCACGCTAAGTCTATTACTAACAAAAGGATTTGTAACATCATGTAGCTCCAAATCCTACTCTTATAAGACTTAGCAGTAGACATTTCGTTTTCAATGACGTAACTAATAATAAAGCCCAACCAAACAAGTATATGAGGATCTTATGTAGTTAGAACTGCACGAGTCTACAACTATTTTGGACCAAATATTCTATTTGGATGCTTTGTTACTCAAGATGCAGCGCATGTGACGCCACCTATGCGTCTAGTGTAACTTGGTCCGGAATCCGTTTGGATGCTCTTAGATGCACAATTTGCTACACTTATCTCGAACGATGTCACTATGGTTGTCTGTGAAGTGTTAAGTTGAGATGCAGTCAAGTTATAGGAATAGGCTCAAGTTTGATTTGACTTACTCCAAGCCAACTTGAAGATTTTCTAGCCATGATTCTCATCGATCTTATAACTCAAATACGGATTAATTTTAAAAGACAAATCTGATGCAAATAGATTAGCCTAATCTATCTGCATTCATGTAACTTTGCAACCCAACAGAAGTAAATACGACCAAGAAAGAAACTACACCACAATTTGAATAGAAAATAAAAAACGAAACATGCGTATAATCGTGTTCAAAATAATGCGTGAGCGATGAAACTTACATTTATTAGAAGAGGACCATTACAACTTCAGAAGGAGCAAATGAGGATCTCAATCGACGTTAACTGTCCATCCCATCTTGTCTTCTACGACGCCCGTTTGGATTGCAGTGAGGGATTTATACAACTTCTGAGTGACAGTGTCTGGTCCAGTTTTATACTCAAATCTGTAAGGTAAATAATAACACTCTTTAAAAGAGTAGGTTTCGATAAATCTTTTAATGAACAATATTATGTTTAATCTTTTTAATTATTATATTGTTACTTATCCAGTCCTAATTAAAGAAAATTTTAAAAACTGAGACATAAGTTTAGTGAATTCATATGAAAGATAAGGAATTGATGACTAATTTATTATATCTTGAAGCATTTATTGGTCTGAAAACTTCACATTGTTCACTAGACATTGTTATTCAATCACCAAACTATTTTATTTGTAAATTAGAGATTAATCTAAATTAATTAGATAATCTTTTTGTAACCAGTGATCTATAAGATTAGACAATAAAAAGTATATGCTAACTAAACAATCAAGTCTATTTCAGACATTATTCATCAACGAAGACGTGTATACAAATAAGGTCAATTATATTTGATAAAGTATAAAGAAAATGACTATGAAGTAAGATCCCGTCATAGTTCCCATCACACTATAATTAAAATTTAAGCTAATATGAGCAAACTAAGATACAATTTCACAATATTTAGAGGGGTGTTATTGTGCTTGAGAGACGATTATTGATTACCATATTGCTCAAAGCCTCCAATTAATCTTATAGACTGGTTTGAGGGGGAAAAAGGATCCTCCTCCTTTTTTTAATAAATTAGAATTGTTTTATAGTAGTTATCTATAGTCTTGATTATTATATCTTTGTAGTGTGTTCTTTAAATTTCTTATCATTAAAGCACCAAAAGAATTCTGTTTAGCTGATCCGTTTCCCCTACTGTCTTCCAATCTGGGGTATAGATAAAGCCTCACTCCATTTACTCCGAAGATTTCTTAAGAGTTTGAAATAATTCTCAATTGTTCTCTCCCAAAGGTCCGGCTTTGATCTCTCTACTTTTTATTCATTTTTTTATTCAACTAGGTTTTATACATGTGCAATGCCCGTCGTTAAATATCATGGTTAAGTACTTTTTGGCTTATTTCCTAACTAAAATTTGTTCCTCGGTTCTATTTTAATAGTTTTTTCTCACTTTTGTCTCTTAAGTTTAACATTGCGATTATTTATTCTCTTTAATATTTGTTTAAATAAACTGCACCCTATTTAAATTTTTATGTTGATAGTTGAATGGATGGAAAACAAATATAATTTGAAGCCAATTTGAATTTTCATATTATTTAGACTGACATGAAACCAAAACAGTATTGCAAACGTGAAAAACATTGAAATAGTGTTATATAAAAAAGGTGAATATTTAAAACCAATAAGACAAGATGATTAATTAAAAGTATGCTAAAACGATACAAAAGATAATATGAAGTTTGTTCCAAATCATTGATAGACTTTATAAAAACTTATAAACTAAAGATTAATGTCAACTTTAGTATACTTTTATATAATAAAAATATCCACATAAGCATATAAAATTACTGAAAGAAGTTCACGAAACTCCCTTCTAAAGATTCCTAATTTCACTCAAAATAATTAAACTATTCTATAAAATATTTAAAAAATATTGTCTTTATTTCTTCTGTTTTATTTTTATTAAGCTGAGATTAATCCTTTTTCACCTTTATCTTTTGTTGTGCATTTCTAGAATAGTATATTCATCATCTACAACCGATTGTAACATCAAGCTAAAGCTGTATTTTTGTGTTATTATCTTTCTTGGGTTCGCTAATCTTTTATCTTCTTGTTTAACTTGACAAAAAAATTGAATGTACTTCTAATGGTCAACACAAATTTCTTGAAATACAGACTTTGATTTTTTTCCTATTTCAATGAGAATATATGTTAATTCCATATATATTAAATTCTTTGTGTTCCTAATTTGTTACTTAAATAAGACTAAGAGCTATCTTTTTTTTCTCTATAATGAATTTTTCTTATGTGTATTCAATAAGAGTTTCTATTATGTCAATAATATTACATTTGCTCTATCCCTATTATTTTTCAGGGAGATCTAAATTAAATACCTATATTTTTCATGGCCAATTTAGCTTAGATTATAATATTAATATTTAATTTATTTAGTATTTGAAGAACAACATATGAAATTTATGAATATTTGCTAATTTTGCTTGCATCTTCTATAGAGAATTCTTCTTTGATTGTGATAAATTTGTTAAATTATTCTTTAGTAGAACTCAGTCGGTGCTTATTTAATAGTTATGTCTTATGGTAATATCAATTCAAGTGATTCATGTACGTTTTCTAAATTTAGATTTATTTTCGTCACTTTCACCTTTGCAATGGAAATAGCTTAATCTTTTGAATGATATTTCTAGACATTCTAATAGTTTCTTAATACGTAAGTCCTTAAATTATTTTACCCTATAAATATTTTTTCACATCAGAGATTAATGTTTCTAAAGTATAATCAATTAATGCTAAGATATTATACTATAGTTGTTTATCATTTTCATGGATTTAAACTTTTATCAATTAATGTTACTTATGTATTTTTACTGCTCTAGCGTATTAAATTATACACAGTTACTTTGATTAATATAATGATGATAATTTTTAAGCTATCATATTTTTTTTAAATTTTTATTCCTCAACCGAATATTTTTAATCAATTCTTATTGTTTTTGTTACCAACATCGACTTAGACTATTTCTAGATGTTGAAAAATGATTGTAACCCTTCTTTATGGTTTTGAACTTTAAGGGTGTGATTTGTAATTTTTAAGACTTTGAGAGTGTTTTTTTAAATTTTTACTTTTACATTTGGTAGATATAACTTCTATATTTCATGTGTTGGTGGTAATTTCAAATGTCAGCAAATTTCTTGCAACTTTGAAAGTTTGAGGTTGCTTTTGTAATTATTAAAACTTTGGATTATTTTTAAAAAAAATTAGATTTCAGCAATCTGCTAATAGTTTCCAGATGTGATGTGTACTAGTTATAAATTTTTAAATTTTAGAGTTTTTTGTGATTTTTAAATTTTGAAGGATTTTTTTTTGTACCTTTTATAAACTTTCGAGGTTAATTTTGGTAAATTTTAAAAATTTTGGTGCCAAAGGGTAATTTCTTGAATTCACTTTTATTATTTGTAATTTTTTTATAATTTTAGGGTATTTTTTATAATTTAAATTTTTAAGGGTGTTTCTATAATTTTTAGAATATTAAGAATATTAATTGTAAATTTTAAATTTTTCAGAGGCTGCTGTTAATTTCTTGATTTCATGTTTGTTGATTTTAGTTTGAAACGTCAGAAATTTTCACATGCATCATGGTAATCCCTTGAATTTATCTATATTTGTAAGGATCATGAATTTTCGATACTAGTTAAAATAATTTTTTGGTATTTTAAAATATTTAATTATGATTTTTAAAAGAGTATTTGTATTTTTCTCGATTTTCTAAAAATTTTCTATGATTTAAAATCTAAGTTTTATATTTATTTAAATAATATTAATATTTATAAATTAATTTTATGCAATGAAAATTTCTAGAATTTATCCGTTGTGTTATCGATACTGTTACGTATCATTGTGAATAATACGTGATATTATTATTATTATTATTACGTATATTTTTGTATAATACGTTGTATTATTAATTACGTATTATTTGTATAAATTTTTGTATTATTTCTATTGTTACATATTATCTGTCGTATTAGTATAACTGGTACGTTTTACTGTGTATATAATTATCCCATAATTATTTGATTTTAAATGTAAGTAAATATATTTTTATTATTAATTATTCTCATTTAATTGTATAATATGTGTATATTTCGACTATTTTGTATCAACTGTTGTATTAGCACAACATGTACGTTTTTATTTGTAGATAATTATTCTGTAATTAGTTTAATTTTTAAGTACTCGTAATTATTTATTTTAATTATTTTTATTTTAATTCTCTAACCCTAACCCTAATATAATAATATATATATTATATAATATATAATATATAATATATATATATATATAATATATATATATATATATAATATATAATATTATATCTTACATCCCTTTTATCTTGTCGATTTTCACAGCAGCCGGCACCACCTCCTTTTTGCTTATCTCTCCTCCCCTCTCTCCCCTGGACCAACACACCATCCTCCGGCCAAAGCTCTTTCGCGTCCAGCACCTCATTCACCGCCCGACACCTCCTCTACTCCGCCCACCCCAAAGCCCCCCCAGCCCGCCTTCACCGCGCTCAACTTCTCACCCCTCGTTCTGCAACCCACGCACCTTCACCATCTCCTTTCAGCTGCCCCACCACTCAGGCCGCAACCGACCCACCGCTCCCCTCCAGAGCCGTCCGGCCAAGCCCAACGTTACCGCTCTCGAACCACCTGAACCTCGGCCGAGTCCACTCTCCAACCTGCATCATATCTCCATACCCCAACCGCGAGTTATCCAGCCTACAGTCGAACACACGTCGCCTTTCATCTCTCCGCCGCTGCCTTGACCGTCGCCGCTCTACACCGTCTCCTGCCCGACTGCCTACCAGCCCCGAACTCGACCAAGCAACCCCAGTCTCAACCTTAGCCCGAGCTCCCCAGCCTCTACACATGTGACCGCCGCTCACCGTGCCCAGCTCCACCTCCCCTCGTCGTTGTCCAAACCGCCGCTCTACAACCCTTCCTTCCCGCGCTGCCCACTCCACCCAGACTTCCGTCGCTCCGAGCTCGACCCAGATGCCGTAGCGCCACCTCACTCCCCGCAAGATCTCCACCACACACCGCACACCAGCGACACGACCCGACACGTCGTTGGGCCGCACTGTCCGAGCAGCGCCTGCCACCACCTCTCCCTCCTTCCTCCCGACCACCAGATCTTGCTCCCGCTTGCAACCACCACGAGATGCCGAGTTCCTCTCCGCCGCGGCCCTTCGACGAATCCGCGGCTACACATCAACACAGTGGTGGCGCGCTGTGCCGCTGACCCCACCCCCCCCCGGCCCTATTAACCCCGTCGTCAACGTTGACAACGTCGATCCGTTCGACACAACCCGAAGCAAGATCCCGCTCTCCCTATT